GTCCAGGGCCGCCCTCACAAGGGCTGGAGGCCTCCGGTGTCTCCGACGGGAAATCAACTCGGGGGGCCTCCGGATGGGCGCCTCTCTGGCCTCGGCAGCCCGCCCGCCCAGTGGGGGGCCTGGATGCCCCGGGCTTTCCCGGCTGCCCCCCTGTTTTTAGCCACTGGCCCCCGGTATTGGCTTGGGAAGGGAAAGGGGGGATTTGAGGAAGGTGCTGGGCCCTCCCCCATGGCACCCCCTCCTCTATCGGGGGAATCAGACGTGGGGGACTTTGCCACCTGCAGAACCACAACGGGGCACTTGGGCGGGTTGGGCTGGCCCTGGACAGCAGGGGGGATGCTCCTTGGCCAGGGGCTTCTCGACTTTGTCCTGAGGCTTTTGATTTTTTTCTCAGACCAAGATACATGGTCGTGACCGGGTGAAGCTGATGGAGAGTCTGGTGGTGGGAGATATTGCAGAGCTGAGGCCAAACCAGGTGGGCCCCCCTGGTCCTGCTCGGTGGGCGTTGTTGGTCACCAGGCAGCCGTCCTCACCTGGGCTCAGGGCGCAGTGGGGGTCAGACACAGCTTTGCGATCTTGGGGGATGGAGCCCGAGTCATGTCCAACCCTCGCAGAGATGGGCCTGTCCCGCCCTGTGCTCCCCACATCAGGCTGGGAGGCCAGAAACCCAGGCTCAGGTCCTGTTCTGTGACCTTCCGTGCGCCTAACCCCTCGTCGTTCAAGTGCAGTCCCTGAGCCGCAGCCTCCGTCACCGAGGGACTCGTGAGGGCCTTCTGGCAGAGCCTGCGTTTAACAAGGTCCCGCATGACTCTCCGCCTCGGCTCCCCCTTCCTCCCCATGCGGGGCGCGGCAGCCTCAGCACTTCGGGGCGTCGCTGCCGTGGACCACGTGAGGTCATCAGGATGGACTTGAAGGCTTTCTGTCCGGGCTTGGAGATGGACCGAGCTGTCCGGGCTTGGGTGGGTTAGAGCAGCAAGTCCCAGGTAGCACAGATTAAGTGTGGGATGGGGCTCTCAGTACTAAGTGGGTAGGGGTCCAGAGGCCTACCAGTTCAGGGAGGTCCCCCAAGGTGAGGAAGGAGTGGAAATGTTCTCAGAGCATGAGGATCAAACACCCTGGGCTCACCCTGGCAGGTTGGGCTCAGTGGGTAGAGTGTCGGCCCGCGGACTGAAGGGTCCCGGGTTCGATTCCGGTCAAGGACATGTACCTAAGTTGCAGGCTCGATCCTCATCTCTTGTCGGGGTGTGTGTGGGAGGCAACCAATTGATGTTTCTCTCTTTCTCCCTCTCCCTTCCACTCTCTCTAAAAATCAATGGAAAAATATCCTCCACGAGGATTAACAACAAACAAACAAAAACACCCTGGGCTTGGGCAGTGGCCTGGGTGACCCAGCCTTGCTCCTTGCACGCACACACCCCTGCCCCGTGCTGAGGGTTCATGAATTTGTGGGGGATGAGTGGGCCCCGGGTGCGTCTCACACTTGACACTGGCCTTCCGGACCTGGGTGCGAAGTGGCTCCACTCTGGTGCTAGGGGACCCTGTCGCTGTTTACCAATGAGGCCGGGGGCATCTTGGATGACTTGATTGTGACCAACACCTCGGAGGGACACCTGTACGTGGTGTCCAATGCTGGCTGCCGGGACAAGGACCTGGCCCTCATGCAGGTACAGCCCTGGGTTCTAGGTGCCCCGTCTTCCTTGTTCACAGAGCTGCCCAGGGCAGACCTGGCAGGGACCAGGGGCTCAGTCAGTACCTCTGAGGGAATGGGCAGAGGCCAGAGCGGGCCCCCCCTGGAGCATGCCAGGTGTCAGTGGGCGGTGGGAGGGGAGCCAAGCCGGCCCCTAGGTGGGCACGCTCTGGTGAGGATGGAGGCCAGAGCTGGTGTTAGAGCCCGCAGACCGGGCGTGGGTCACCCCTGCCACTCACACGACCTTGTGAGGTGAGAGCCGCCTACTCCCCGAGCTTGGCGGTGCCGGGAGACGGCCCTGGAAGCCGACATGGTGCTCCCGTCTTCCCGTCAGGACAAGGTCAGGGAGCTGCAGAGCAGGGGCAGCGACGTGGGCCTGGAGGTGGTGGACAATGCCCTGCTCGCCCTGCAAGGTGAGCAGCCAGCGGGGGTTGGCGTGACCTTTGCCTCCTGGCTTCCTGGGCTGCAGCGGGGGGAGGTGTGGGCCGTGTGGGACTTGAGTGCATACCCTCCCCCCTCAGCTGGGTGCATGCCCTCCCCCTGCCAGCCCCAGGGCTCAGTGGGCTACGGGGCAGGAGCATCTTCCACCTGCAGTGGAGACTGTGCTCAGGGCTCGTCTGGCCCCGGGCAAGGGCTGCCGTCCAGCTTGGGGGGCCCTGGGACCTGGGCGCTTAGTCACTGGCTCCCTGGGCCCAGGCCCCACGGCGGCCCAGGTGCTCCAGGCTGGCGTGGCGGACGACCTGAGGAAGCTGCCCTTCATGACCAGCGCCGTGATGGAGGTGTTTGGCGTGCCCAGCTGCCGCGTCACCCGCTGTGGCTACACGGGAGAGGATGGTGTGGAGGTGGGTCAGGGAGTGGCGGCAGGGCAGCGGTGGACTCGGGCC